GGAAAGCGCTCTTTCGGAAAAAGGTGTGCGTGGATGAGGAAGAGGGAGTTTTTCCTAAAGAAGAGGCCTCCACGAAAAAGCACAGGTGCCCTGAGGGCCACTCTGTCCACAGTAATCAGAACTTAATTGTGAGATAGCGTCCAATCAATATAGACGCTATCTTTTGAAAAAGCAGATCGATTTTTTGTTGCGCTTTTGCTGTATGGATGCTCTCATTTAAAAGAAGTTTTTCTGGAAGATCTCTTCCGGAAAAGTTTCTTCCAAAAGAAGCCTGCAGTCTAGACGTAGCCTTTAAGAAGGTGATACACATGTTTCTGGCATCTTAGAGAAAATTCACAAGGTATGTATCTGTGATAGTGATGTTACAAGGGCAACACATCAGGGCAAAGTAAGCCAAAGCAAATGACATTCCAATTTATTGTTCTTTTGTTTGAATTCAAACATCCAAAGGAAGCAGATGCGAATGAATTTAGATGAAGATGCAGAGTACATAGGAATAAAGGTGTACAATAGCAGAAGCATTAGGCATTTAAAACCTCAGGTCCAGCTTCTTATTGCTGTGGAATGATTTTTATGGTCAGAGAGATTTCATCCATTTTGTAAAGTCTGTAAAGCTGCTACAGGGTCTCCAATCCACATTTTCTCAAACACCATAACATTGATCTGTCCCCTGGTGAAGCATTTTATGGAACAGGGCGTCCCAGTAACTCTCCTTTTCAGTTTGACAGGGGTAAACTGAATCCTGCTGCCCTCTATAGATGATCTACTGCTTTCCACATCACTGTGATATGGAGGGCCCTAACTCTTCCTGAGAGGAATTAACTCTGTTTCCTGAAATGATGGCAGCTCACACCTCCTCTTGGTCTAAACATCTATTCTAACATCGGTCATCTGAACCGCAGCTGACTGTTGTATGTGTAACGGGTTGACTCACTTTCTGCATGGCTCTTCTCTCAGGGTGGCTTTGGGGAAGTAGCTGGCTGCTCCGACGCGCCCCCTTTGGGTGTGGTGTTGTCTTTGGGGCACTGCCCTCCATCAGTGTCTGCTCCGGTCTTGGTCCATGCCCCCTCTGAGGTGGGGAGTCATTGTTCTTCCTTCAATCCAGGGTACTCCCTAGAACCCCCAGTTCTTTTTCTTCCTAGGAACACCCAGCTCCCTCCAGGAACACACAGTTCCTCAGCACCCTCCAGGCCTCAGCGGATCACTGCCAGTCTCTTCTAGCCCCTGTCTCTGGGCAGACAGCAGCCTCTCTTGGCCACTCCTCCCTGACAAAGGGCGCCCCTCTGCCTGCCTGGTTGCCTCCTGCAACTCTGCCTTCAGGACTTATGGCCTGGGGCTTCCTTGGCCTAGCACTTATGGTCTGGCTCAAACTCCCTCAGCCTACTTCAGTTGCCTTTTTGCAGCCCAACCTTTTAGGGCTGCCTTTATGTGAGCCCCGCCCTCCGTGACTGCCTCCTTGCAGCCCTGAGCCTCAGGCTGAGTAGCCTAGGTTTGCTAGGCCGAAGCCTTTCATGGCAGGCAGGTCTAGTCTCCCTCCTCCTTCCAGGAGTTGCTTTAATAGCCTCTGGCTGGGCCCTCCTTAACTGCCTCAGCTGGGCTTCCCTCCACTCCCTGTATCAGCCCCTTAAAGGCCAGGGCAGGGCAATGCCCTGCCACATATGGTACAAAATATGTTAGCCAACTGTAGCAAATATGTTCATTACTTAATTTGTTTTCATGCTTATGTTGTGTAACAGTATTCAGATCAAATATTTATATCTAAAATCTGTACAGGAAACATTCTAAATGAATATGTTATTTTCTGATTGGAACATTTTTGGTTAGCTTGATGCATTTTAACTAAAAAGTAAAGACACTTGTTTTTGTAGTTAGTTATTGAAATATATTTACCCACATGCACTTAGTAATACCATACAATGAAGTGGACTTTTAAGAAGAACAGCATACTATAATCTTAATTTTTATTCCATTTATGTTTGTTTTAATCAAATGCAACTCAAATGAAATCCAGGTAGTTTCACTAGTGTAGAACAAGTGTAAGTAACATCAGAATCAAGATTTCTGGATACATAAACACTCACAAGGCTTGTAAAAAAACACACAACTTCAGCTGTATCAATTTACATTAGAGGATTAAATCATTGGTTGTCCTGGGAACTGGACTAGACATAATGCTACTTTCTCTAGCAAATTACAAGGACTTCTGTGAGTATATGGCATTTGAAATGGGTCTCTGATGTTTGTTAATTTTTATCTCCTAGTATGCCAGTTCATGGATAGAGTGCCATAGCATCTGTGTACCCAAAAGCAAGATATAGTTGTCAAATTGTCCTTCCCAGCACAATTGGATAGATTTTTTTCCCCCTTTTCTTAGGATCACAGAAGGCAGCAAAATTCTATGGCAATGGAGTAGAGCATACAAAAAGAAGATCATACCTCTGCAGCATGGTCCTCCATCCCCTATGTGCAGCAGAGCTTTATAGTTATTTAGAGGCATGTATTAGGGAGGAACTAAAAAAATCGAGTAACAACTACACTGCACAGCATGGAGGGGAATGAAAATCAATGGCAAATCAATGGCCATAGGTCCTGTTTGAATGCTTTTCATACAAGCATTACTGTCATCACCACATCATTATTTCCTACAGCTGTGTGCAGTTATGCCTGAGGAACCAATGGCATTATGGATCAGAAACCAGAGTGCTGCTGGGCGCATGGATAATCTTGCAGTACAACTAGTGAGACTTCTTCTCTGAATGTCTGATAATGAATGCATCAGAGTTGGGGACTGTTTCCATAGATCCTTAGTTCCTTCTTGTAGGTCACAAACACCACCTCAAAAATCAGACCCTGAGACAGGAACACTAGCATCCATACCTTATGATATTATTATAGTAAGTGTTCCCTTTCCATGATTGCTTCTGAGTGTGATCCTAAGCACCCCTATTTTCACACCCTAGGCACTGTGGTAGATGATCTTTGTACAAAATATGCCATGCAAGGTATAATTTGAAAACTAATAATTCACTGATCATCTTGCATGATGTATATGCTCAGTGGATATAAAGAGTTATGGATATATGACTGAAATAGACTAAATTGTGTGTAAATCAGGCCTGCTAGGTGGACCTGGTAAACAGGACTTAACTAGGTAAAATAATGTGTTCCCCCACCTGGAAAATACTTCCAAAATTTGTTATAAGACAATGAGAAATATATTATATGTTGTGTAAACTGACCCATGACTCTAACAAGGAGTGGAGGCAAACCTAATACAGGTTGATCCTCTCTACTCTGGCACCCTCGGTACCTGTCCGGTGCCAAACCAGAGAATTTGCCATATCATGGAAGGCAAATGTTGTCTAGTAGCATTACCAACACCTCCACTGCTTACTGGGCTCTTAGAAGACATTGAGCAGTAGATTAGAGCTAAATAACAGCACAGAACACTGGGCACCAGGCCCGGTGGCTGCAAACAAACTTTATGGGGCCTCAGGAAACTTGTCCACATCCATGATAAGTGGACACTCAGCTAACTAAAATCATGCCGGACTACAGATGTTGCCAGACCAGAGAGTGCCATACTAGAGAGGTTCAACCTGTACTAACAAGTAGTGGCAGTGGCGGAAGGAGACAGCATGTGGTCTACATCCACTGAGAGAGAGAAACTTGGTCTGTGTTTTACTTTTCAGTCTTCAAAGGCTGGGGGTGAACCTCAGGAGATAAGCCATTGAATCAACTAATTGTATACAATATTACTGAATTATAAATTGTATTGAGCGAGGTCTTTTCTGAATGTCTAAGACATGCTGGTAATTAATACATTGTGAATTTTGTGTATTAAGTTGATTTAAAGAAACAATTTGTCACCAACTCATGAGAGTGCATCTACACTGCAGTGTTTTTCCAGAAAAACAATACTTGCATCTACACTTGCGTTCACACTGCCATTGAGTTCTTTCGACAGGAAGTCAAAAGAAGGGAAAAGTTTTTCGGACGGTGGTAAACCTCATTCTATGAGGAAAAAGGCGTGTGGGAATGCAGAAGAAGGAGTTCTTTCAAAAGAAGAGGCTTCCAGGAAATAACACAGGTGCCCTGGTGGCCACTCCATCTAGACTTATCACAGCTTAAATGCAAGATAGCATCCAATCAATGTGGATGCTCTCTTTTGAAAAAGCACATTGCTTTTTCATTGTGCTTTTGCTGTGTGGATGCTCTCTTCCGGAAAAGCTTCTTCCAAAAAAAGCTTGCAGTCTAGACATAGCCTCAGTAACTTTCATCTCAGGGAATAGATATATAACCTGTTTCTGCTTTCATTCTGATTATACAGGATCAAAACTCCTCTGAAGTTAATGCAGTTACTCTGCATTCACATTGGCGCAACTGGGAGCAGGATCAGGGCCAAAATCAGAAGCAGCCTATTTCATGATTCCAGGGGGAAGGGATGCTGGAACACTTTTTATAGGGAGGGTGTTGAGCGCCATTGACTCAAACTGTAATCTCTGGATAAAATGGAAAACAATTCAAGCCAGGGGGTGTGGCTCCTAGTTCCAGCACCTATACCAATGGGCTGAAATCTTGGCATACTTATCACAGCTACACCTCACAAGAATTTAGCAGGGTCAGTTCTGTTTTTGCTAGGTTTGAATCCACCTAGAACCAAAATCTCAATCCACCTTTGAATACAAATTCTTTCGCCCACCTGTTGTTCCTTTGTGATATATGAAAGAATGTGCTCCATGCTGTACCAGGCACAAAATTAAGATAGGGCCTTCTCTTAAGTGTTTGTGTGTAAGGTTTAAATGTTAGGACACAGTATGACTTTTGAGATGAATGGTATCATATACGGTTGTTTTAGTCTTTTACACTATAACATGCCATTAGATGTTTTGTGCTGTAAATCATGCTGTTTTATAAACAGATTTCAGAAAGTAGGTCTTTTGGCTGCTGATTTTTTTTCTCTGTGTGTAATTCTTTGTGCCTCTATGTACCTTTTATAGGAAGAAGCTGAAATGAAAGAGATTTAGATTCTAATGAACCTGATGTAGTGGCTCTCCACATCTGTGTAACTGGTAAGTTTGTCAATCAGCTGCTCTTTCATACAAATCATTGGTATTTATTCATGTCTGTGGTTTTCTTTCCTCTATTATAAACTAAGATTTGCAGCATTGATTTCAAAGCATGCAGCAGCAGATTTAATAAAACTAGATCGGGGGTAACTGTTTCTACCTGCTTAAATTTTGTGTGGATAACAAAACTGGTTCTGCAGCAGAACAATTCTTAAGCTAACACTAAAAGAAAAAAAGGTTTTAGTGAAGCAGAATGGTCATATTGATTTTTACCTTCAATATACCTTCTCTCATCTCATCACTACCTTTTAAAGCAGGCGTGGGGAACCTGTTTTGCATAGGGAGCCACTGACCCACAGAAAAATCAGTTTGGGATTGCACACAAGTGAGAACGAAAGAAAAATAAACCCAAACCCTCTCTGACGTGGCCCCGGATTCAGAAGGAGAAAGATAGTCACCACATTTCTCTCATGCACTGGAGCCTTGGGGCCCCAGGCAAGTGTTCCTTCTAAGCTGTGTGGCAGCACAGCTTCACAGGTGATGATTAATCAGCCCCGCCCAGTCAGAGGCTCAGGGCTCCTTGCACAGAGCTGACTGACTGGGTGGGGCTGATTAACCTCCTGTGAAGCTGTGCTGCTGCTCAGGTTAGAGGGAACACTGGCCCAGGCTAGTAGATTTTGTGTGCTCCAGCCCTGCAGGTGGACAGCAAGAGGGAGGGGTGGCTGGAGCACCAGCGTGGGCTTCCCATTGCTAGAAGGGAGCCCTGTGTCTTGGGGGCTGGATCCAGGCAAGCTGGGGGCCACGACTGGGCCTTAGGTTCCCCACCCTTGTTTTAAAGCATGCATCATAGAGCACAAGAGTAAATTAACATTAAACTACCTTTCTTCTAGTGCTTAAGGGCTGTGGAAATGATTGAAAATTTTAACTAATTAGTCTTTTTTCTGAGTTAATTGTATGCAGCTGAAGTTGAGGTTAGTAAAGAAGTGAAGTGGCTTCTGATTTTGAATATAATTAATCACGTAAGACGACCCAGTCTTGCAGCATCTGAATGGATGGTGCACAGTGCCAATGCAGAGCTGGAGACAGCCACTGACTATACACATGAAAGTTCCCTGGATCCCCTTTTCCTCTACGTACGACATTCTTTGCAAAATCTTCTATTCAGCCTGTTTCCTCAGGCTGCCTATCTTCTTTTCTTCTTTGTATCTCTTGTCCATGTTCCCCTTCCCTATGTTTGTTTTTGTTCTCCTCTCATTTCTATACATCTTTGTCTCTTTTCTCTAAATGAAAACATATTTTAAAACAGTTAAAGGATCTTTGCATCTCTGCCTCCCATATCTACCTATGACTGTTTAATGTGTTATCACTAGCTTAAAGAGCAGCAATCACAGAACAAGCTATCTTCAATTTAAACTCAGAAATAAAATAGTAAACAAAACAAAGACAAAGATTTAGATTAGATTTGATTTGGACAGTGAGAGGAACTAAGTCCTATAAGATGGGACGTTTACTGATAATTCCCTGATGTTGCTAGAACCTAAGCCAGTTAATGTAAGTTGGGAAGACAGGGTCATGATAAAGGCCCCACAGTTTTGGAGGAACATCTGCAATGTTCTCAAACACAATTTAGCATTTGTCAGATGCTGGAAAAGAGAATATCATGATATATATAATGGGTCCCATTCACTTACCCAAACTTTCTATGTACCCCACTTCAAATACCCCACTTACAGCTCTGTCCAGTCAGCGCCATTTTTGCAAAAGAGGTTCTTGCGCCAGAAGGAGCTGTCTACACTGCCCCTTCTTGCACAAGAAAGACCCTCTTGTGCAGTGCCACTACGCCGATTATTTTCAGGAATAACAGCATTACGCAAGAGGGTTTTTCTTGCGGAAGAAAGGACAGTGTAGACAACGCCTTCTGGTGCAAGAGCTTCTTTTGCAAAAATGGCAGCTCACTAGGTATGCAAATGAGGCTCGGCAATATTCCATGCTTAGCCTTATTTGCATATTACTTACGCAAGAAGCCACGAGTGTAGACATAGCCTAAATGTTTTAAAATTTGAAGGAAAGAGTTGGAGACCTGCAGAAAGGGGAGAAACAGAGCAGAGAATCTCAAAAGCCTGCTAAATAGGACATTCTGATTAGCTAGGCTTTTAATTAGTGAGAACTAATGGGCACATGTAAACTTTTCCAAATGCAGTGTCTAAAATATGGTACTGACAATTATTAAAAATCTTTAAAAAAGCCCAACCCTTTTATATCTACCTTAAAATGATGTTAGTCATTTTGTTTCTTTATTTCTTTTTATGGTATTGCAGTGTTAAGGACTTTTAAAATTCTTAGGTAATTATGTCAACATTTCACTCTTAAAATTTTTAATTGTATAGACTACTCACATTAAGTTCTGCCATTGGTGTCTGACTTTTTCTTTAAAATGGGCAAATTGGCTCATTTCTTTCTCTCCATCAGTATGACAGGGCCTGCTGCCATCTGGATACCTGTTGACCACCATCCTACCAGCGGGGGGGGGGGGGGGGGGGGTGG